GTTCATCGAGGAGGGCAGCGTGCACTTCCTCAAGGAGCTCTCGCTCAAGCTCTTCCTCGCCATGCCGCACTCCTCTGGTACGAAGCGTCTTAGTGCGACCTTCCGCCGGAGACCATACGTGAGCACTCACCGTGCGCGTCGTAATTTTTTTTTTAACTGTCCTGCAGGACGTGTGCGGGAGCTGCTTTGGGAGTGCGATGCGTTCCCCGTGTACATGCGACTGCTGCAAGATGGATCGTGGTATGTCGACGTCCTCCAGTGCCTCCTCAAGTGGCGGCGCCTCGACTCCGCGAGGATGGATGCCGAGATGGAGAAGAGTGCCGAGTACCTCGTCGACGTTTTCTCCTTCTGCGGTAAGCCCGGCTTCCAGAAGGCCCTCGAACCCCTCCTCGACATCGTCCAGGTACACCTCCTTTGATCTCCTTGCTCTGTGATTGAACTTAGCTGTTAACCATTCATCATCAACAACAACAACCCACACCAGGAATCCGTGCCGGTGAACGTGGCGATGAGAGAGGGCGGGGTGATCCCCAAGATCCTGGTGGGCCTCACGAAGGAGGAGAAGAACCCGCACGCGCAGTGCACGCTCCTCAAAATTTTGCTGGCCCTCCTGGAGGCCACCCCGAAGGACGCCGTCGACGAGATCGTCCACCAACATCAGCTGGTGCCCGTGATCCGCCAGATCCACGCCACCACCACCAAACTCCTTGTAAAGAACATCGCCCAGCGGCTCCTGGCCATGAAGGCCTTCCAGTAGGCGCCCAACCCCTCCTCTTCCACCTCAACAACACTATGTTTCATTAAACTCCCCTTCCAGTACCTGCCGCGTGCGTGTGCGGTGGTACGCGTGTGCGTGTGCGGTGCGCTTGCGTGGCGCAGAAAAACAGAAGAAGGGACACAGGGAAAACGCCGGCCATTCGTGCCAACACAACCTCGGCAAAATGGCGGACGATGACATGGTATTGAATATTGTGGATGAGGTGGATGACTCGGTCATAAGGAAACGCAAGAGACAGCGGGTACATTGCAGGCAAGATTGGCTTGGGGGGCGATTAATCGCATTAAGCGAGATGAGATTTAATTGTGAATGTTAAACTGATCCTAATTATCTGGCGGTGCATCGGATTTTGTAGAACTTGAAGCCCTCCCTCCAAAAGCTGGAGGCGCTGCTCAATGGACGCGACCCCAAGCGCCTCAAGATCGCGCCCCACCCGCGTGCTGCTCGCATGGAGCGCGCCGCCGCCCGCTCGTCCGAGCGTGCTGCCTCTGCCACCTCCACCGACGTCTCCTCTTCCTCCTCCTCCTCTGACCCCACCACCGCTCCTGCCGCAGCTCCTGCCGCAACTCCTGCTCCCTCTACCAGCTCCAGCACCTCCGACTACACACCTTCGGCTCAGCAGAGGGGAGGCCGCGGTGGCGCTCGCGGTGGTGCCGCCGCAGCCCGGGGCGGGTCTCGAGGTGGCCGTGGGGGCGCCGCTCTGGGCAGGGGAGGCCGACCGAGCGCGGCCGCTCCCCGCGAGGAGGTCACCACAGCCCCGCCCGCTCCCTCTTCCACAGCTGCTTCGTCTGCTTCGTCTGCGTCTCCCTCGACACGCTCGGCCGCACCGGCTGCTGCCAGGCCTGCGTCGACTTCGGTTGCGTCTGCCCCCGGTGGTACGCCGGCGGGTACCCTGTTTGGCGCGAGCGCGCAGGAGAAGAAGAAGCGGCTGCCGCGGCGCGAGCGGTTCGTGAACTACGAGTTCAAGGAGAGCGACATCTTCTCCGCGGACTCCTTCGCCGAGATGGGTCTCGTCGACCGGCTCGTTACGCACATGAAGGGTGCGACACTTGGGCGTTTTGGCTTTGGCTCCATCCCGTGCAGCTGACAACGTTCTGTTTTTCTTCTCGGGTGTGGTGTGGTGTCATCACTCGCGTACGTGCAGAGAAGATGAACCTCGACAAGCCCACCCACATCCAAAGGGCCGCTGTGCCGCACCTGCTGGCGGGCAAGGACGTGTACGTCGGCCCTCGCTGTGTTCAAGCTGCGTGGTTGGCATTCGATCACTCGCATGTGAGTGTTCTAAACTAAAACACGCGTGAGTGCGGTGATACGCACAGGCTGATCAAGGCAGAGACGGGAAGCGGCAAGACGCTGGCATACCTGTTGCCCATTGTGCACATGCTCCAGGCCCTTCCCAACAAGGTGCAACGCACCGACGGAGCCTACGGTATCGATACCACCTTCTCTGCGCCCGCGGCTCGATTGGCAGCTAACCCCTCTGGGGGTGTTGTGTGTGTGTGTGTGTGTGTGTGGTGTAGCAATTGTGGTGGCGCCCACGCGTGAGCTTTCGCTGCAGATCTACGACGTGCTGCACAAGCTGGTGCAGTCCTATCCGTGGATCGTGCCGGGCCTGGTGATGGGCGGCGAGAAGAAGAAGTCCGAGAAGGCCCGCCTACGCAAGGGTACCCATTTGCTCGTCATCTCGCTCCCATGACGCGTTGGTGCGCGTCTCGTCCGCGTTTGCGGCTAACCGGTGTGTGTGTGGTGTGTGTGGTGCCGCGGCTACACAGGGGTGACGATCGTTGTGGCGACTCCCGGCCGCCTGTTGGACCATTTGCAGAACACGGCGGCGTTCAAGGTGGACAACCTGAAGTACCTGGTGATGGACGAGGCCGACCGACTGCTGGACATGGGCTTCGAGCGCGACGTGACGCAGATCGTCAAGACGCTCGACGAGAAGGTGCGCGAGAAGGCCGAGCTCGCCGCCCTCGCCGCCGAAGCCACCGCCCCGGAGGGCAGCAAGCCCAAGCCCAAAAAGGCCGCCGCCGACAAGGCCGAGGAGGCCGCCAAGCCGCGCCGGCAGACGGCCCTCATCTCGGCCACCCTCAACTCGGAGATCAAGCGGCTCATGGGCACCGTCATGCGAAGCGAGCCCGTCTACGTATCCGTCACCAAGGTCCGCGAGCAAGCGGCCGCCGCCCAGCCTTCCACTGCGCCGTCGAAGACGTCGGACGTCAATGCGGCGAGCGCCCCCAGCAGCGCGCCGGTGGTGGCCACGGCCACCAAGGACAAGGAGGAGGTGAGCATCGACCAGAAGGACGACGCGATCTCCACGCCCCGCGGCCTCGACCAGAGCTACGCCGTCGTGCCCTGCAAGAAGCGGCTCGTCACCCTCGCCGCCTTCCTCCAGTGGCAGGCCAAGACCAAGTACCACCTTGTGCCCTCCCACGCCCTCTCTGCTACTCGGCAGGCCTGTCACTGACCACGTGCATGCAGGAAGGACTGTAAGCTGATCGTGTTCACGTCGAGCATTGCGTCGGTGGAGTTCTACTACACGCTCTTCGGCCGCACGCTGCTCCCGGACTACGCCAAGGGCGGCAAGAACGGCCCGCAACATCCCCAGGCGGGCGACGACGACGACGACGACAACAAGCAGTCGCCAGGTACCCTCCTCACCGCCTCAGTGGCCTCCTTAAAAACAGTGGAATAATTTCTCACTCCCGCCTCCGCGCCCAAGATTACCGCACGAGGTCTCAGCCGCTGTTGTCGATTCCATTGTTCAAGCTCCACGGCGACCTGCCCCAGGTCGACCGAACCAAGGTCTACTTTGCCTTCTGCAAGGCCGAAAGGGGCATTCTCTTCTGCACCGACGTCGGTGCGCCCCTTACCTTCAAGCTGCTGCTGTTGATTGTTGATTATTGTGTTGCGCGGGAGTGTGGTCAGCTCACCGGTCTTATTATTAATAATATTCCCTCCAGTCGCGCGCGGTCTCGATCTGCCGGCGGTGAACTGGATCGTGCAGTACGATCCGCCGGCCGAATCCACCGAATACATCCACCGCGTAAGCACCACCTCCCCCTCTTCTCAAATGGCTTTGGCACAGCGCCACCTGGTCATGCGTTGACTCCCTCGTTCTTCTCTTGGCGCGTAGGTGGGCCGAACGGCTCGGCTGGGCCATTCTGGGCGGGCTCTCATTTTCCTTCTGCCCACGGAGGAGCCCTACGCGGATCACCTGCAAACGCAGTACCAGGTAACCACCCGACCCTCGCCTATCTACTTTGGAGGTCAGACTTGAGTGGACCTTACGTCCCTCGACGTTTTTTTAACACTACGATGATTGCAGTTGGCGCTGCACAAGGTGTCCACGGCCTCGATATTGAAGACGCTGCCGGCTCCGCCCACCAAGACCGACGATTTTGAGGGCGCCACTCTGCTCCAGACCCACTTCGAGTGGATGCTCAAGCACGACAGGGTAAAGCCACAAACACACATCATCACCTTGCATAGACGGTACTTGCCGTCAAGGGCACTTACTAATTCACTTCTTTCTTTGTGCGCAGGAGGGCGATCTCCACGGCCTGGCCGCGAGTGCATACGGGTCGTTCGTGCGAGCCTATGCCACGCACAGCGCCGCGACCAAGCACATCTTCCACATCAAGAACCTCCACTTGGGCCACGTCGCCAAGAGCTTTGCCCTGGCCGAGCCGCCTTCCAAGCTGGTACGCAACCCTTGGCCACGCTCACTTGGCAACAACTGCGCCCCTGACCTCGACCACGGTTACGCGTGAATGCTGGTACAGTACGGCAAGAAGGGCAAGAAGGCATTGAAGGACGCGTCCAAGGTGGCTGGCGACAAGCGAAAGGACTCAAGGAAGGGCAAGGGCAAGGACGAAGAGAGTGGCGAGAAGCGGCCCAAGCGCACGACCGTGCCCTCAAAGCGCAAGCTGCTCCAAATGTCCGAATTCGCTGCCTTCTAGCGTTCGCTAAAGATGCCCCCCCCCTTGTGCCTTCACGTCGTTCTGGTCCATTCTTCTTTAACTTGTTCGTGTGGTGAACGAGCGTGAAAATATTGGGGGGGGGGTACAATGAAGGATACATGACTACTGCACGTTGGCGCCTAGAAGATCTCGGCCATCATGCAGCGCACTCCGCCACCGCCCACGGTTTCAATGGTCGGAATGGCGGCGTGCACCAGCTCGTCCGTGTGTCGGCGCAGCACCTATCCACCCGTCCATCCACGTAACATCGCAGAGCTGTGAGCAGCAGCAGCAGCCACCGCATCGCTGCGTGCCGTGGACGGGGCTCATGTACCGTAAGCTGCGCGTCGGTGAAGGCAGCAAACGCTCGCGAGGACATGGCGAGCACTCTCCTTCCGCCGGTGCCCCGCACCTCGAGCACGTTGCCGCAGAATTCGTCCACCTGCGCCCTCGTTATCTCCACCACCTCGTGCGAAACGCTCAACTGCACCACCACCACCGACCGAT